CAGTCCGCAATTGTTATGAATAATTAAAAACAGTCAATTTGCGTTGGATTTGAGATTTTTCCAGTTATATGAGTTTTTTTCATTTACTTGATTGCTGCATTATTACAAGCTGTCTATCTAGTTTTTAACACAGTTTATTCTATTCTTTTTAAAGTAAGTGTATGGTGAATAGAATTAATAAAAAAATTAGCGTTTCGTGGATTTGATTTCTTTTCTTGTTTATCTAATTACCATTGACAGGTTCCTGTCATATATTAACTATTTTCTATCGGCAGAACATTTTTTCGTTTAATCCATCCAAATTTTATGTTTTCTCTTCAGTCGCTGTGAAAAGTCTCAAGAATGAAGACTATTTTTGTAGGGACGTTTGAAGAGTGCATTTACGTTTTTACATTGATTAATCTTTTAGGGGTTGTTATGGGTTTTTCAAAAATGAGGTTGATTTTTAAAATATATATTTAAATAAGTGCACAGATATGTTTCTATACTAACTATATTTGTCGATTTGACGATTTTCTTAAAAATTAAATTACAGGCTGTTATGAACAAATAAATTTTACGAGAGTATATATAGAGTCATCAGAGACCTCATCTAGTCGATATTGAACAAATTCCACTGGAAAAACTGAAATCCAACAATTATTGACGTTTTTTCATTATGTATAACAATTACAGGCTGTTATAAACAAATTAAAGTGGTGGGAGTAGATATCAAATCAATTATTCCCTGAAAATTATTTTTTTTTTAACTGATATTTTATTTGTTTTTACGAACATTTTTTTGCAGTTTAACACGAGTGACCCCCGGGTTCCGCGATCTCTATAAACGAGTGAGTGGAACATAGGTTGAGCACCTACCGGGCGCGTCTCCAGGTGGCGAATAGGAGCATTGTCCGGGTAGTACCGAGTAGAGGCCCCGGGGGCCGCGAGGCGTACCGAGTGCGAACACGAGGGAAGCCGCTGGCAAGTGCAGCTTGGGTGTGTACACACTTTAAGAGGCACTGTGGACCAACTCCCCAAGTCAAGGTGTAAGCCATCCTGCTAAAGACTGAATGGCACTGGGACACTGTGTCGCAAACGATGCTCTTGGGGTACCAGGCGACCCCCCTATTGTAGCTAGCCTTACCTGTGCAAGAAGCTCTGCACAGGTGGACCTTTATTTCCTCATCACTCGTGGGACTCGAATGAATGACTTTAGCAACATTCGGAGTAGTGGGGGTCCTATTTCTTTTAACGCAGAGATAGGACTTGGAGAAGCCGAGGCGGGACGAACCAGCGAGGACGCGAGATGCAAACCGAGCTGCCTTGTAAGGAACGACCTGCTACCGGCAAGGAGTATCAGGGAAAGAATCTCGATAAACCTGATCCACCGTTACGCCCCAATAAGAAAAAACTTTGCGGGGCAACGAAGAAGGCTAAGTTGCTGGAACTGGAGAAATCCGGGGCTAGCACAGCCGGAGCGAAGGCTGAGCCAAGTCAGAGGAAGCCGGGGGCCCCTGTGGTAACCGGCGGAATCTCTGGAGGCAAGGCAACTTCCAGTGAAACTGGGACTGACGTTTTCCGGGCCACCGGTGGATCCGGTGGTGATCTTAAAAAGACTCGAAGGCCAAAACGCCGCACTGCATACGGGCCTGGCGGGTATAGAGAATGAAGGCGACGCCAACATTGACTAGCTTAGTCATTGGCGTGAACGACGAGTCATTAAAGCTCTTAAAAGGGTTAGGAATGAGTTTTTACTGCGGCCTAGACAGAGCTCGATTCTACGAGGCGCCAAAGGCTGTGGAGGGGAAGCAGGCCACACCCGGGAAGAGACAATTACCGGTGGCAGGGACCTCCAAGGTGGTACCCCCTCTGAGAGGAAAGAGGAAGCGTGCAAAAACGCATGCAGCTTCTACCTCGAAAGAGAAGGAAACACCAGAAGGGCCCACCAACCCCCTACCTCTGAGGGAGCTATCACAGGGGCTTGATAAGGCGCACTGTGGAGAAGGCAAACCTCAGACCAGTGGACGGGTTACGCCAATTCCTGGGGCACGGGGGAGACCCACGAAGAACCAGGAGTTGGCAAAGGTGGGGAGGATCCTGTCTCAGATCAGGCTGACCGATATGGTAAGGCCTGGAACAGAACCTACGGGTAACCCTCCCACGGGAGAGGACGCAAGAAGGGACGGTGACATGACTGGCTCTTTTACGCAGGAATAAATTCTTCCTACGCTTCCTCGTCCCAAATCCCATTCCCAACACGCGAAATCAAACGGCGCCGAAATCTCGTGATATCGGGGCTGTTAAAAATTTCGCAGATTAACTTGCATCACTGCTACATGGCCGCGGCATTATATTGTCAGGACCAAGCAATGAAGCACACAGATATTTTCCTGATCCAAGAACCTTATTGTAGGAAGGGAGAGGTTTTAGAACGAAGAGACGCCAAAGGCGGGTCCTCAATAAGCTGTAAAGGTGATAGCGACCCTAGGGGATGCGTTTCCATGAGACAAGAACTGAACCTTGTGGGACTCAGCCAATACTGGCTGAGGGAGGTGGGCAATGTGGAACTGCAAGTGTGTAGGGACCCAAGGAGTGCTGACTGGGGCCTGTTTAGGCAGGAACTGGAAAGACTCATGGGGGAGCTCGGAACGGAGGAGCGTGTAGGGTCTCTGGCTAGCCTCGATGAGACAGTGCTGGACCTAAAAGACGCTATTGTAGGGGCCTATAGTTGCTCATGCCCCGCCAGGGTGATGCAGGAGTGCAGTAAAGTCTCATGGTGGAACAGGGAGCTTGAAAAGGCTCGCAGGGAAACCAGGAGACTCTTTAACAGGGCAAAAAAGCTCAAGACAGATCAGATATGGACTGAATACAAAACCTCACGGAGGGAATTCAGGTCTATGATCCGAGGCCTAGAATCTCCGGAAGAAGAGATGGTCGACGACCATTAGGGCATACTGGAGCTCCTCATTAAAACGCATTTTCCGGGATCAACCCCGGTGCAAAAAACCACAAGCGAGGCCGATAAACCAAGTGGGCTCGTAAGGTGAGTGGAGGTACGGAAGTTCGAGCTGCAGTGGCCAAGGGCTGCCCACAGGGAGGTGTCCTATCCCCCCTGCTGTGGACCCTGGTGGTGGACGAATTTCTTACGAACCTTAAAAAGGCGGGCTCCAGCGTTCAAGATTACGCTGATGACGTGGCCATCACGGTCACAGGCGACGATTTGGGAAGTCTGTCCCTCAGGATGCAGACGACCCTCAACGTCGTTGAGAGATGGTGCCAGGTTCGGGGGCTCAGGGTCAACCCGAGCAAAACTGAACTGGTCTTGTTTGAAAAAGGAAGGAGGACTGATTTCAGACCTCCCTCCATTTTTGGCAAACAGCTGAGATGTTCGGAAACAGTGTGCTACCTTGGAGTAACCTTAGATAGGAAGTTCTACTGGAGGGCACATGTGGACAAGCAATCCTGTTATGCGCTATGTATATCACCAGAAGGGATTGCACTAGGCAACATATCTATAGAAGCAGTGACAGCTATGCTGCCTTAACGGCTCTTTCGCAAGTGGCTACCTGTTCAAAATTCGTGGACCACTGCAGAAGGGTACTAAAACGAACGGCATGCCGCAATAAACTAAAGCTGCTAAAGGTACCAAGTCACTGCGGTATACGCAGCAACACCGAAGCTGATAAGCTGGCCCGTATCGGCGCTAGCGGTGGAGGTGACAGGGGCCCAGTGGAGATCAACGCTCAAAAGATTCACAAAAGATTCACCAGCTACTAGGCGGAGACTTCGGGAATGAGGCACACCAGAGCGTTCGTCAGGAAACCCACAACTCAAGTGAGTAGAAACCTGATCGAACAGGATAAAAGAAGGCTAAGAGTGGCCGTGGGCACCGTCACAGGGCACTGGCTAACTCGACGTCATATGAAGATGCTAGGACGCGGAGAGAAATCCGCGTGCCGGTGGTGTGGTGGGGAAGAGGAGACGCCTCTCAACATGATAAGGGAATGTTCGGTGCTAAGGGAACCCAGGCAGCACCTGTTAGGGAACCCAGTACAAGGGCCCCGTGGCTAAGTGCAGGGGAGGTGGATCGAAAAAAAAAATTATTCCTTTTATTATTATTAGGTACCAAATGTGCTTTACAGCTACGAATAGAGGTCTTCTATAAGAAAAATTAGACTAAAAATTGGTACGTAGGAGTACCCGGGAAAAAATAAAGTAGATCTACACAGATCCACGTTTATGCCATTTCTTAGATCTTATTTGATCTATTTATATCTAAAAAACTGAAGAAAATTTTATCTAAGTGAATCTATGTGTATCTAGTGAGATCACAGTAATTACAGGAGATCTGAAGTGATCAAAACAGATGCACGCAGAACAAAGTAGATCTAATTGTGTCAAAAAATAGATCCAAGTAGATCAATGTAGATCTATTTTATTTTTTTCCGGGTAATGATGTAAGAGGTAAAGGAAAATAAGATTCTACCGACCTCCGGTGATGAGGAAGGATCATGAGAAGATAAGGATTTGCTTGTTCAAGCGCTAATTGCGCTGCTTCCGGTATTTCGTATCCAACGAATGCAAATCTTTTATGTTTTTGTGTGATAGGATCTCAATACATGTTGATAGATTTTTTTGGTCCAAAGGGCAGAAATGCCTGACGAATAGTGTCTTCTTTCAGCTCAAAGCTAATGCTTCCAACATAAACTCTGTACAATAATAAATTATTAGTTTATTGTTTTTATTTGTTTACGTAATATTATAATTACACTCATTTATTCCATACAAATAGAACTAAGAATATCATAAATGAAATAGAAGGAATAACTCCAAGATAATAAAAATAAGACTCTTGAATGCGAACAAAAACATCGGGACTAGCTGAAAGTTAATAGAATGAAAAAATAATTAATTAAATGATTTTTAAAAACCTAATCTTGTCTCGTTCACATCCATTCTCTCATAAAAATATAAGATTCGATGAATAATTACTTTGCCTTATTGATTCTTATTTTTCGTTAATATTGATGAAAAAAAGAGTGACGAGACATTAACCCGCACATTAGCAATAATACTTTCTGCGGTACGACCAATTTATTCTTCTGTAGGGACGAAAAATTAACCAATTAGAGTTTTTTTACTTACCATAATAATTATTTTTGCTCTTTTAACTCTTACGGGTTGAATTTTATTTTTATCTATAAATTACTTTAAGCTTTTTAAAACGAAAGAATAAAAATTCAATAATAGTAGAAAATTTGTAAGACCTTGAAGCAAATGCAATTAATTGGTATTAATTTCATTTTAAATATATTATTACATATTTAATAGAAAAAACCCTAAAGATGTGACAGGACTAAATTTAATAATTAAAAAGAATATACATTTTCTGACAAAAAACATTCCAAAAAAGTATTACATACAATTTTTAATTGATTAGAGTTTTAAAAAGTTAAGTATAGAATATTAAATTTTATGAACTGTTTTTAAATGGTCTGGTGATGAAATGTCATTATGATTGTAATGATAAATACCTGCTGTTGATGAGCTACGGTTCGTTTCTTCAAGACCATCTTGATGCTTTGCTCCTTAGCATATTTTTCAGCTCTTCTAACTGCATCCTGCTGTTTAAATGAAATTTCTGGTAGTCTGGTTTCAAGATTATCCGAAAGTGTATGATATTTTTCACCAGGTCCTGAAATATATATTTTATTATTATTCATTTTTATTTCAGTATTAAATTAATAAGGTATCCTTATTCGTTTTAATAAATCAGATCTTATCAGCTACTGCTCACAAATTTTGGAAACTACACTCGACAAATCTTTAATCGACATACCTAAGCAAAAAAATAATCACGATTTTTAATTTTATTATCAATGATAGAACCAGACAATGAAAATCAATATCAAATGATTATTCTTGCTCTTGTCAGTATGTCAAGTACTACTTTATTTAATTATTTAAGATTACATTTTTAAAGTTATTACTCTACAATGACTTGTTTTCTAGTCCGAACTGAATGGTTACAATAGAGTTTTAAATATTTATCTTACTTACCGACAATGACTTGACCCGTTCGATTGAGGTCATAAATTGACATTTTTCTACTTTAACGTTTCTGTACCTATCACTTACAATAAACACTTTTTAATACTTTTATTTCTTACCTATCGTTTACAGCAGACGGTTCATTTTGGTACTTTTCTGTTTTCCTATCGCCTACAGCAGACGGTTTACTTTAGTACTTTCTCTGTTTTCCTATCGCTTGCAGCAGACGGTTCTCTAAAATTCTATGTTTTTTGTTACACTTATTTCTAAGTATAAGATATTTATATTTTTAATTTCTTTTTCGTGGTTATTTAATACTTCATCATTAATCACCACTTCGAGATTCGGTTCACCGATCAATTGATTATTATCGATCAATTGTGGATTATCTTTTTCTTCTACTTTTTGCATATTTTTTGTATTATTGTCTACGTTATTACTATCTATTTTATTTCGTCCTAACATCATTTCTTGAACATATTGCCTCCAACTTGTTATCTCAAAATCTACAGATTTACGTAATTCTATAGATCTTGCAAGTCGGCTGTCAATTATTTCTGGTAGTAATTTTTGTTCATAAAATGTTGTCAGGGCATTTTCCATTTTTAATTGCCACAATTTTTCATTTACGTGATGACAGTAAATCCATCCTTTATATGTGCACAAAACAAATAATCCGAATGGTTTTTCTGTTATTTCCATTGCACTTATCAGTCGGTAATAGGCCCAACTACTTTCATTTAATCCAGTAAGTTCTTTATTAAACATTTGATGAATTTTTGCAACTTTCAGTCGTACAGCCTCCTTCGGCGGGAGTTCTCTTGCTGCAAATGGGCATTCTATTATTAACACTGTATCATTATCTTCCTGTGTACGAATCAGTCCATCAGGTACTGTGCACAAGTATGGTGCTTTTGAGTAGAGAAATAATCCGCATTCTTGTATTGTACACCTGAAATGTTCTGCAATATATTTTTTTGCAGATTTTTTGTTGCCTGCTCATATGCATCTATATTAGGTCGACGAAGTGATGGGCATAAAATTCGTTTTACGAATTCTGCGAACTCTTGCTTAAAATTCATCTGAACTAATATCAGGTTCATTACAACTTTCTTCGTAATATTCTTTTCCGCTTTTGGAAACTTGTTTTTTCATAACAGAGGTTTCAAAACACTTGTTTTTTTCGTCGTTATCATCGTCATCATCACTTGGAAAAATGTCTTATTCTTGTGTCTCCTTGTTTCGCAGTCTTTTTACATTATATTCATTTTTCTGAATACGTCTATTCTCCATATCAATCGCAGTTTCAGGTGTAACTTTGTGTAAATATTCATTTAGCCTGGTAGCTGGTTTTTGTGAATTAAATTGAATAACTGTCATTGCTAATTTTCCTCGGTATAAGCCTCTCTGAGATATACATTTCTTTTTACCACCAATTTTTTTGTTGATCAGAGAATTGAAACATTCAGCGCGATTTAAACTTTTGCCGTGTAAAATGCTTTCTGCACTATAACTAAATTTATGCACAATATTTGTAACAAAGTCAAATAAACCGACAGCCGTTAATTCTGGTACCAAGTTGACTTCATTTTTTTTTGGACCATTGCAAAAATATTTGGCGCATTTCTCATGATCACCGAATATATGAGCTGGAATATTCTTAATGTCACTTTGTATATTCGCAATTTTTGCCTCAAAATTAGTATTTTCTTCATTTCTCCTGAACTCTGAAGCTTTAACCACGGCCATACTCATTTTCATTATATTTTTAAATACTACTTTCTTGTACTGTGTACCAGCAGATCCAGTTTTCACACTCGTTACCTTTTTCAGCTTTTTAACAAAATTACGAAGCAAATGATTGACGCACTCAATTTTTTTAATGTAGATGCCATCATATGGATTCTCGTGTAATACTTTTGAGTATAAACTGCTGTCACCGTCAGCAATCATTTAATTGTAAACTAATCTGTGATTTTTTATGCTGTTTCGAAAGCCTTCGGCAATGATATCACTCTCCATACTCGATGAACTTAAATTTGTATCATAATTTTGGTAGCATCGGTGATTGCTTACAGGTATTTTTCTTTTTGCAGCAAATGCACATTTCCTTCAATACATACTTCGATAATTATAGAATAGCACTTTTCCAGTGCGATCACCGATTCCAACAGCTGAGCCTGTTTTCGATCTACCTTGTGATCCATATGATCTTTTACTCCAACTTCCATCGACTATAATTGGACAAGTTAAATGATCGTCGGTTCTTGAGTTCAATTGTTCTGAAAGTTTTCTCTTTTCTTTTTCAGTCCGATTTCAAGCTCAAAATGTGCAGAATCAAACATTGAACAATTTATCGAAAGTTATACAGGTTGTTATATTTGGGGGCCCGAGCGCGCTTTTTCTCTTCTGGCGCCCTTGAGTGCGACAGAGAGCAATAAATATCTTTCTGTTTCACTTGCACTCACACAAAACTTTTGCGCGCGTGCCGAGTATTGTGAAGCATGAGTGCGAGTGAAATGCACACTCCAACCGTAAGTGTGACACAGACACTGTACGGTGAGTGAAGAGGGGATATTTTAGGCTCATGCTGGGTAGTTGAAAAGTCTTCCCGAGCTCGAAATTTATCAGCGCGGTAATTTTTCTAAGTTCTACGCGCTTTAAATGTTAGAGAAAATTTGTCAATTTTAGGTCCAATAATCATGTATATAGACTGATAGAGAATTAAATTTTCTATCGATCTAGTTATACTTTTTTAGAATAATTAATCGTTTGCACTAAAAAATCGGGAAAAAGTATCTAAAAAAAGAAAATATCTCAGTACTCCAACTGTCCTATTAACGAAGTAAGTATAAGTTAATGCTTAATGCTAAGCTCATTGTGAACCGAAAGAAGTTGATATCAAAGACTGGAAAATTGTTACTGAGTTGTTCATACACAACGTTTCTGGTTTTATCGAATCTTACTACTGGTATTGTAAAGAAATGTTGTTATTGGGAGAAGTATAACTAATGTTTCAGTCAGCATCTACAATTACTTTCGATGCAGAAAAAAGAACATGGAAAAATTTGCATTTAGATAATTGGTGTAGTAATTATGGCAAAGAATTTTTTAATAAAAATACTATTTGATGAATCTGTCGAATTTTCCAGTTTATTACCAGCAAAAGAATAATTATACTACAATGCGAAAAAAAACATAAATATTGATAGTTATAATTAGTTGATGAGACTAAACCCAAAGTTGTCTGGAATATAGCTGATAGATGTCTTCATCTGAGACGAGGTATTTTAAAAAATATTTGAACAATACCTGAACGATGTCTGTAATAAATCTTATATAGGGAAAGATTTTTTATATTCAAAAGTAATAGATGGATTGACAATTATTACAATGACAATTATTATTGATATTGATAGAAATATGAAATATTTTATGAAGTATATGATAAAAATAATTGGAAGAAAAGTATTACATAAGTGTAATTAAAGATAATCATGTTGTTAGATATGTTGATTGTTATCAATTCATTTATATTATAAATTATTGCAATACAAAAGTACAATTTATTTTAATTATTACGAATCTATGTTCGATGTATGCTAATGTGATTGATATATGAAGTTTATCATAATTGAATCGTTACATATGTAGTACTGCTTTGCGCTAAAACAGGAAAAAAATACTGTTGAGTGTATTCACGCAATTCACCAGAGAACATGAGGTCATCTCTAGATTCATCATCACCAACGGCACTCAATGGTCATTCAACCCACCTGCAGCACCACACATGGGTGGCAAGTGGGAGTCAGTAGTGAAATCACTTAAATTTCATTTGACGAGAACAGTAAAAGAATCACTCTTCACGTTTGAAGAGATCACCACACTACTGACACAAATAGAAGCCATTCTCAACTCAAGACCTCTAGAGCCAATCAGTGATGACCCAGAAGACATTCAAGCACTCACTCCTGGACACTTTCTTGTTGGGTCAGCACTCAACACTGTTCCTGAACCATCAACCTCAGAACCTGCACATTCAATTCAAAATCGATGGCGGATGATTCAACGACAATCACAGCAGTTCTGGAACAGAACAATTCAAGTTGGTGCATTAGCCTTGCTAACTGATGAAAGATTTCCCCCCACGAAATGGCCACTCGTGAGGATAATTCAACTACACCCAGGGCAAGATGGGCTTCCACGAGTAGCAACGGTGAAGACATCAACAACGACGTTGGTCCGACCAATCGTCAAGCTAGCCATTCTACCAATCAACCCAACTCCTGAAGCCCAGCAGCAGAATCAACCAGAAGACAATCATCAACCAGTTGCTGATGGCGGACGGCATGTTGAGAATTAATTAATTCTCAATTTGAATTTGCCAGCTGACAGGAACTTCGACGGCCATCTTAGGACTGGGTAGATAACCAATCGACCTAATAATCAATAATTCTTTATCTAGTCACTCATTTGACTACTTTTGAGTGTCCCTTTTGACTAATGAAGTTCCTGTCGCCATTCTTTCACTGTTCTCGTTCACGTGTACACGCCATTCTCATTCATTCTTAACAAATCTTACAATTTTGAGTCAATCATCAGTACTAGTGCTATTGTAAATCATCAGAAAAATTCAGTCTTTACTCTAAATCTATAATCAAGTAATATTTCACGATATTTCATTGTAAATTCAAGACATTTCATCAAATTCATTTTGCATTGCATTGATAGGCTAACGCCACGTGCACAATCATATTCTTGCTCAACCTGAGAAGCGTGCTGAGCTCGTGTGGGAGGTCAATAATACTGAACACACCAAGTTGAGTATTTTTTAGACATTCAATTCACATTCAGCAATTAAAATTAGACATTCAGTGATTTTGAGCGACATTCAGTCTTCCTAGTGAACAACTCAAGTTTGTCAGTGTATTGAGTGTACCTGTTAGTGCTGAAAATAAAGATATTTTATTTTTGTTATAAAACCTGACTTCCGTTTGCTCTGTTCCGGCACAATCATCCCTATCCTTAAACGGTTAGGTTAATTCACAAGTT